AGAAGGAAATTAAAGAGAAGAAAGTGAAAGCACAGAAGGAGAAAGAAGCGGGTAATGCAGCTTACAAAAAGAAGGATTTTGAAACTGCAATTCAGCACTACACTAAGGCTATTGAGCTTGATGATGGAGACATATCTTTCATTACTAATCGCGCTGCGGTCTACTTGGAGATGGGAAAGGTATTATCCACAAACCTTAATACTCCTAATGTTATCTGGCTAGATAAGGAGTATATGATGTTAATTTGACTTGCATGGTATAGTAATAGTAGTAGTAAAGCTAAAAGTTCAAATTTTTAAAAAGAAAACCAAGTCCGTTTGTCTTGCCTAGTTTGTGCTTTATCTGTTTTTGTGATCCCTGCTTGCTACAATTGATCTAGTCTTTAACTTGATCAAAACAAGTTGAAGTTTTTGAATTATTGCACTTGGGAGTTAGCCTAGCCAGCGTAGTTGAGCTGAAGTTTGTGGTAGACTAGGGTTTGAATCTAGCTGTGTGGTAGGAGGATAGTACACGTCCTGCTTGAGTTGTTTAAAAAATGGCACTTAAATGGTTTAATGAGTTTTGGTTTTTGGAAGTTGTATAGATTATGTTGAAATAGACAACGATCCTGAAAATCGGAAGTGAGGCTGTATAAATTGGAATGGAGGAAGGAGTATCAACTTTTACTACTTGTGTGTTTGTCTTTTATGGTGACATGCTTGGGGGAATTTGAGTTCATCATCAGCGTAGTTGATGTGGTAGAAGGATTTCACTTTTCTCCTAGGTAAAAGGCCATCTGGTAGTGCTGTAACTCCTTGGTGAGTTCGGTATTCTTTATGTCAATTTATAACTAAGGTTGTGGGGTTTGTTGTGGGGTTTCAGTTGGGTTTCATATAAGAAATGTTGTAGTTGAGAGGGCGCGGAGTATCATAGAGAGAAATGGAATTTGGCTTATTGGCAGATTTATGATGCTGGACATATTTGTCTTTGTGTCGAAGCGTTCAGACATATGGGTGATATACCCTTCTCAAGCTGTTCATTTTTTTTTTGGGTATTGGGCTTGGTTGTTATTACACCCTTGTCAGATTGCTATAGTAGTATTTCTCATCAATTGTCTACTCTTTTTTTATCAGTCAATTGCCTAACCTTTATATCCAAAAGCAGGTTACTGATCTTCTTTGCTATCTTTTCCCTTCTTTTATTTTTTGGGTGGTGGAAGAGGGTGTCTCTGGTTTTTCCTGCTGTGGTAGAATTGCCTATCTGAGTTGTCTTTCCTAATATATTAGGAGAGCATAATAATTAATGAAAGGTCTTCCATGTTAAATGGAAAATCTGATCTATTAATCATCCCCAGATGGTACGTCTCTCTGAAACCTATGAACAGCTGTGAAGTGGTGACAGTACAGGTTCTAATGCATTGATTCCATAGCTTGTATTAGGCATGGAGTGTGTGGTGCTCTTCATTGAAGATCTGCTTGTTAATGAACCTGAAAATTCTACACAATGTCCTGATATACTTGTTAGGTGCCCAATTGGTGCTGGGTTAATAGTGATGTGTCACATTATTTAAAAGGGAACATAATGTTCTTAGAAGAAACCTAAATGTTACAGAAGATGTAGTTAAAACGCAGCCTTCACGCACAGTTATTTGTAAGTTATGTTCGTCCTTTTCTTTTTTGATTTTTCGTTTATTCCAGCCTTCCATAATTGATGCAGCTTTTAGAGTTGTTTGCTGATGGTTGTGAAGTAAATGTGTGACTTTTTGCTTTAGAAATTGTTTAACAATGGTAGTAGTCTCTCAAGTGCTTTACAAACTTACTCCCTTCAATAACTGTATCTATCTTCACCTATGCGGTGGTAGTTGCCACTTCCTCTTCTATGGTTAACAAAGTCTGTATATAGGCTTCTCCTGGGAGATTTGTGTCTGTGCCGGTATCTAGCTGTTTACATGGGGATTTCTCATTGCTGCCATACCTTTTTGGGTGGATTATGCATTAAGAGTACACACTCCGGTTTGTCAGGAAGATACATCTGGCCAGAAAAGCAAAATGCTGAGAAATTCCGTGAAAGGAATTCTGAAATAAATTTAAGTTACTAACTAACAGAATCTTGAGATTAGGGGGAAGGTTATGAGTTCATCGGCTTCCTTTTCTAATTTCTAATATAATTAATCACCAAAGTTGACCCTCCAAACTGTTAAGTTTAAGGGAAAGGGATCGAGTTGGTCCACTTCCTTTGCTCATTAGTCTCCATATAGGACCAGTAATAGCCATATAAAGCCGAGGGGTGAGTAGAGAGATAATCTTTGCCAACTTACTCCACCTATATGTCCTTGATTTTTCTGGTGACTGCATGACATGATACTTGGTCATTAGAGGGACAGACATGGTGATGAGTTATCTTCCCATCGCCATTGCCTCCCAGGTTTCTCTGTCCTCTTTTTTACCCATAGCAAGTGTAATATTTTGAACCTAGTTCCAGGACTCCGATCTGTTTCCTGTGATGGTATGATTAATCTGTGAAATTTCTTGCATAATTTCTCTGCTCTTGTGAACTCACTGTGTGATATGATTTTTTGCCTTGATTTCAGTATGAGGAATGCATCAAAGATTGTGACACAGCTGTTGAAAGGGGCCGAGAGCTAAGGTCCGACTATAAGATGATCGCAAGGGCTCTGACTCGCAAGGGAACTGCCTTGGCAAAGTTGGCTAAAAGTTCGAAGGATTTTGAAGTTGCAATTGAGGTTTTCCAGAAAGCTCTGACCGAGCATCGCAACCCGGATACCCTTAAGAAACTGAATGAAGCTGAGAAGGCGAAAAAGGAATTAGAGCAGCAAGAGTATTTCAGTCCACAAATAGCAGATGAAGAGCGTGAGAAAGGTAGTTCTTTCTAAGGCTTGTCTTTGTTGTTTTTCCTCTTATGTGGCTAACTTTCTTCACTATGTTACAGGAAATCAGTTCTTCAAGGAGATGAAGTATCCAGAGGCGGTTAAACATTATACTGAATCCATAAAGAGGAATCCCAACAATCCGAAGGTATTGCCTTCCTCCATCTTCTGTAACCTCTTTTGACTTGAGAACTTCTCCCTGTCCTTTATTGAGGACTCAATCCTTGGCAACTGCAAGTGATGCTTGTATTTTCTCCTTTGTTTTTTGTTAGGCTTATAGCAACCGAGCTGCCTGCTACACCAAGTTAGCTGCATTACCTGAGGGGCTCAAGGACGCTGAAAAGTGCATTGAGCTCGATCCAACATTCGTAAAGGGTTACACCAGGAAGGGTGCCGTTCAGTTTTTCATGAAAGAGTATGAAAAAGCTTTGAAAACTTACCAGGAAGGATTGAAGCTTGATCCTCAGAATCAGGAACTCCTAGATGGTGTTAAGAGGTATATAAATTTATAATCACATATCTCGTCAGTTGCTTCCTTTTAAGTTGTTGAGGGTGTATGTGATTCTTAAAATTGGTCTCCTTTTATGGTCTGATCTGTGTTTTACTTTTCTTCTTTTTCTGCATTTCACCTATCTTGTTTTTTCAGGAAGACATGGAAAAATATGGTTCTTATTGCAACTTTAAAAATGCTCTATTCATTTTGCAGATGTGTTGAGCAAATAAACAAGGCAAGCCGTGGAGATCTAACTCCAGAGGAGCTCAAAGAAAGACAGGTACTGTTTTCTTTGCATTATAATCTTATTTTGCTCCAGGTAAAGATAATCGGTGATGGCTAACACTCTTAAATCAATTTCTTTGATCAGGCTAAGGGGATGCAAGATCCAGAAATTCAGAACATCCTTACAGACCCAGTAATGAGACAGGTAATATTTGGTTGTCTGAGTGCAGTATGCTTGTCTCGTCATATACCAATATCATTGTGTAATTAACTTTGCCATTTCGTGTTCTGGAGCAGGTGCTAAGTGACTTCCAGGAGAACCCAAAAGCTGCACAAGATCATATGAAGAACCCTCTTGTCATGGACAAGATCCAGAAATTGATTAATGCAGGAATTGTGCAAGTTAGATAAGTAGCAATACTTCCAACTCACCATGGAAAGTAGCTTTGGACTATCCATTATTTTTTTCCATCCTTTGTTTACTTAAAATTGTTCCTTCATTATGAACTCCTTTTATTCACTTTCGAAGTGTAATGTCGCACAATGTCTGGGTTTTCCATCATCTTTTCTTTTCCTTTTTTTCTTCTGTGGTAACTGTTAAAATTTTGTATCTTGTTTTTCTTTGAGGGTCCGAAAGGAAGGATTGTTGGTGCGTTTATGTCTTAAATGTTGTGCTTCCTGCCGATTAAAGTTACTTCACTATATTTCAACATCATTGTAGCCATCAAAATCTCAAATACAACTTTACCTAAGTGGCATCATAAACACTATTTCCGCTTATACTAATATTTCTATTTCGAAGTTTATACTGATGTGTTTTGGGAAAAGTATATTCAAGCAACTAAATAATATTTGCAAAAATTATAAGCAAACGCAACATCTTCAATTTAGCTTCAATGGTAAATTAACGAATGTGTATGCAAATCTTGTGTAACGTATCAAAACGGTTATGATAGATAATGCGATAACGAAGGAACTATATCACTTAATATTAATTGATTCTACAATGTCTATACAAACAGAGTTTTACTTGCGTGAACAATTATTTAGTTTAGCTCTAATCTAAAATATTTATAGATATTAGGGTCTATAAACAATACTTTAAAAAAGTACATCCAAATATTAACTATTCCAATTTGAAAGAATTTTTAATAGAGTGAAAAGTATTTGATTTTCATAGACAAAATGTCCAGTAGCTCTGTTTTCCCTGTTAGGACGAGTGTGTGCGCCTTTAAGATTGGTTTCAATTTTCAAAACATTCTTGGAATAAAATTTCAACTGTAAAAAAGACAGTTCAATGCATTAAGTTTTCGCTTAACGCGAGGTCTAGGAAAGTCTTTTGTAGCTGATCTTTAGTTTGGACCTCAATATTATAAATAGAATTGCAACATAAAACAAATGTGAAATAAACAACTCAAACCGTCAGATGTTACACCTAAGATCTCAATAAAGAGCATCAAATTGTTACAAAGCATATACTTGTTTCTTCTATAGTAAGAAAGATAATCCCAAAATCAGGGCACACTCAATCTTGCCCTAAAATATTGATGCTTCTTTGGATGCAGAGATATCTTAAATGCATGTATACACATTTAGTCCTTTCTTTCTTCCGTCCCTTCGGAGTCTCAGCTTATAAATTCAACGACATACACAAATGGCTGAAAAAACTCAGACGTATAACTAAATATCAGCTATTCTCCATCGGTGTTTCATGCTAGTACGTACAAAAAGAATGTTGTGCAAGCCTTAATATCTTCGTCGAGTAAAAATACCTATTTTCAAGTTTGTGGATCCAAAATCTGGAAGATGACAGACTAAGCGGCTGCCGTTTCCTCCTTTTTGGCAAGCTGGTTTTGAATGTGTTGAGGGACAACGTCAAATTTGGCTAATTGCATAACGTAAGATGCACGACCCTTTGTCATCCCTCGCAAAGTACTAACGTAATTGAACATCTCTGCTAATGGAACTAAAGCATCCACCACCTGCACCAATTATATTACATCCATCAGAAAGAAACAACAATTTATCAAATGCATATTTTAACATATGCTTATTCTTCGCAATTGTAAATATGACATGTCACAATCCCTCTAGAGGTCATTTTTAAAGCTACATATCTTACAAATCTTCATAGAGAAACTATATACACCATCCTTCCCTGCTTTACATGACAATCTCCGAAGGGATATGGAGTTTAAAATAAGGCCAAATACATAAGCGCCCCCTTAAACTTGTCCAGTTTTTCCATTTAGATAAACTCGGTTTAGAACCTAGTGAACACCTAAACTCTTCCAGAAGTGTTCCAATTAGACAGATTTTTATGAGAACCAAAAAATAATGCTTGTGTGAAGTGCATTTCACATGCAATTGATATGGCAAAAGCTACCAATGAAAGAGTGGCGTGTGGTGTTGATCCCAAATAATATGGAAAAAAATGACAAAAAACAAAAAGCTCTGTTCCTCAGAATATTCAATGAACTTTAGGTGATGCATCAAGACAGAAAAATGTTAAAAGATCTGGACATGATTTTTTTCAAAAAAACTGGAAGAAATTCTTCACCCGAAATTATCCGCGAGAGAGCAAGAAAGGAATTTTAAAGAAAATTAAGAAAGCAAGCATAAAGAAGTAATTTCAAGCAGAGTAATCATGAGCGTTGAATGCTTATTAAAGCCCGATTGATTTTTTATTTTTTTTACAGAATTGGATGAAGGATTCAAACCTGACAAAAACTGCAACCGAGGGAAAACAGGAAAAGGGGATCATGGATTTCAAGAAACCAATCTCAGGTTGTTCTTCAAAATTATTTGAGAAAATTGAAACTGAATCTTGTGGTGTTGGAATTGGAGAAGCTAGATTTAAGTTTTTTTGGGAAGTGTTACTAATGAGAAGTGGGTTTGACAAGCCAGCCATGGAACCCCCCCACCGGCCTTGCAAATTTCCGGTGAGATGGTTCGCATTCAAGTAAAACCGGTGGAAAAGAAAAAATGGAAAAAAAGAGAACTTTTCTTTTTAAAACCATTCTCCAGGCACTGAACACGCTCAAAGAGAGGGGAAAACATATACTTTGCCATGTCAGCAAAATGTGTCTAATTGAAATATTTTTAGAGTGTCGGTGTTCAATAGGTACTAGCCCAAGTTTAAGTGTCTAAATGAAAATATTGAGATTTAAACTACGTAAAAAGTACTACAAGTCACAATAATTGATAATTCAAGATATCCAAAAGACATTGAAAAAATCAAAGAAAGACTCGTTTGAATCTCGAATTTTGAAAAGTGCCACATAAATTGGAACGGAGGGAGTAGAATCTTTTTTTAAAAATTCACTTAATGCATGTACTACTACTACTGTATGCATGCTGGATTAGTATGTGAACACTATGGATCCCCAATTCTTCAACAAAAGTGAAGTTGGAAGTAGGTGCAAGCATAGATATAATGAGTAGATTGATGAAAGGAGTCCACGATCATACCTTGAGACCTCCCGGTTTGTCTCCAAAGCTGTTGATCTGACCTCTCCTTGAATTAAGGTCACCAATCACATCTCCTAGATGTTCTTCTGGTGTTACTACTTCAACCTTCATTATGGGTTCCAGCAATTGTGGACTAGCTTTTCTCATCCCTTCCCTAAAAGCTCCCCGAGCAGCCAGCTGGAATGCCAAAACACTTGAATCCACATCATGGTAAGAGCCATCTACTAGCACAGCACGAACATCAACAACGGGAAAGCCTGCCAGTACCCCGTTACTCATGCATTCTTCTAATCCCTTCATAACACCTGGAATATATTCTTTTGGCACTGCACCTCCCTTGATTTCACTCTTGAATTCATATCCACCGCCTGCTTCCATGGGTTCAAACCTTACTGTGATATCAGCAAACTGTCCTGAACCACCAGACTGCTTCTTGTGCACGTATTTCACTTCTGCGTTCCTGGAAATGCTCTCGCGATAGTTTACTTGTGGAGCTCCAACATTAGCTTCCACCTGTCAATTGATAAGCAATGTTACTAAATGTAGAAATCTTTCAGTTCTACAAGGCGTTTACTGTAAATAAGAATGGTATGCAAAAATAACTGCTTCTGAGTGTGTTAAACAAGCATTTTGCATATATCACATTAAGCAGTAAATAAGAGTAATAGTGCAAGTAACTAGAAACTGCAATGGCAATTCCTCTGATAATAATATGAGAAAAAATAGGTTATTTTCCTTTTTGGGGGGTTTTGTAGGGGTTTCCAGATACATACCTTAAATTCCCTTTTCAGTCGATCTACAATGATCTCAAGATGTAATTCTCCCATTCCCTCGATAACTGTCTGGTTAATCTCCTCATCACGTGAAAAATGGAAAGACGGATCCTCTTGAGCCAGTTTTATTAAGCCTTGCGCCATCTTATCAATGTCTGCTTTGGTCTTAGGTTCAATTGCAACCTTTATAACAGGATCTGGGAAATCCATGCGCTCAAGCACAACAGGCTTCTCGGGATCAGACAATGTCTCTCCTGTAATTGTATCTTTCAATCCAGCAAGAGCAACTATATCACCAGTTAACGCTGTCTTTACATCCTCTCTGCTGTTAGCATGCATTTCCAGAAGTCTGCCAATTCTCTCTTTCCTGCCTTTGTTTGCATTCAATACATATGATCCTGCAGTAAGCTTTCCTGAATATACCCTGACAAATGTGAGAGACCCGACAAAAGGGTCATTCATGATCTTAAATGCCAAACCAGTAAATGGTTCATCATCACTTGGGGCCCTCTCAATGATCACTTCAGGGTTGTCAGGGTCGGTTCCATTCATGGGTGGCACGTCAACTGGAGAAGGCAAATAATCCACAACTGCATCGAGAAGTGGCTGAACCCCCTTGTTCTTGAAAGCAGAGCCACACAATACAGGGACAAAATTGCCAGAGATAGTTCCCTTCCTGATCAACTGTTTGATGGTTGCCTCATCAGGTTCAACTCCTTCCAGGTATTTCTCCATAACATCATCATCCAATTCAACTACGGTCTCAATCATCAGTGCCCTATACTCCTCAGCTAGCTCTTGAAGATCAGCAGGAATGTCCTCATAGGAAAACTTTGCCCCTAATTCTTCTCCGGACCAAACAATAGCTTTCATCATCACAAGATCAACTAATCCTTTGAATGTATCCTCTGCACCAATTGGAATCTGAATTACAAGTGGTTTAGCACCCAAGTTTGTTACTATCATGTCTCTTGTTCGGAAGAAATTAGCTCCAAGACGATCCATCTTATTTACGAAACATATCCTTGGGACTCCATACTTATCAGCTTGTCTCCAAACAGTTTCTGATTGAGGTTCCACACCAGCAACACTGTCAAACAAGCATATGGCACCATCTAAAACCCTAAGGGCACGCTCCACTTCAAGAGTGAAGTCCACGTGACCAGGAGTATCAATAATGTTGATACGATGCTTGTTCCAGAAGGTGGTAGTAGCAGCAGAAGTAATTGTAATCCCCCTCTCTTGCTCTTGCTCCATCCAGTCCATTGTGGCAGTTCCCTCATGCACTTCACCAATTTTATAGTTTCTGCCAGTATAGTAAAGGACACGTTCCGTTGTAGTTGTCTTCCCTGCATCTATATGAGCCATAATTCCTATATTACGATAGTCCTTCAAAGGAACTGTTCTCTTCTCCTCTGCAGATAAATAAAAGAGCAGCACATGAGTTTATGTTCCAGGAATGATACACTCTCTAGACCGAATGAACCCTGTATAACATCTATGTCAGCAGACTTACGAGTCAACACTAACCTAAAATATATACTCATCTCCCAAGACATAGTGTTGGTAAACCATAACTCTAAAATAAGTGTCAACGGTGTTTCTAATCATTGACCTCTTTTGGGAAAATGAACTTCAAAATAAGTTCTTAATGCTCAATGCTATTTTTCTTGAAATGCATTTAACAGCGGAATCACCATTCCCTAGAGTTGAAATTCGAGTAAGAAAATCCACAAGAGAACTCAAAATAGACACCTTCAAAGATTAAGTACTATATTATTACAGTTATCCATACTAAAGTTCCAACCTTTATTTTCTTTTCCACTATCCAAAATTAATTGTTTCATTTTCCAACCTGTTCATGAATATTCAAAACAAACCTCTTTTGTTCTCCCGCAAAAAAGACCTTCCTATTCTCGAGCCTAGTTTCTCCAATTTATTATGTTCTCAATCCTAATTACATTACACATTATAGAAATCAGTAATTATGGCAATCACATAAAATAAAATGATCTCAGTTTCTCACTTCCAATCAATCAATTGTGTATCATCCTAACCTAGAAGGAGTCAACTTTATAAATATTTTGTATCCATTCCATTCATAATCATATTATTCATTTATTTATTGAACAGCGGAGAGCCAACTTGCGCCAATCTCAATTATAATACTAGGTACCTACATCCACAATATGGTTTTTGGTTAACTCTTTTCACAAGGACTTACGTAGATTGTTGAAATTACCTAAGCTTTTTAGCCTATGTAGGATTCCCAGCCCTGGCCTCTCGTGGTCTTTATACTATCTTCATTAACCTTTTCAATATAAAAGCAATGAAACAAGAAAAGCAAAACTCTTGCCAAAAAAAAAAAAAACCTATCCACTCCCACTACCACCCAAAAAATGTTTATCTTTACAAGTTACTCATTTATAATTTACACATAAAATTGAAATTTTTGATCCTCTAAGCAAAATTTGATACCTTCAGCAGCAGCCATAGCTAAGACAGTAAAGCTAACACCTCTCACCCAAGAAACCAACTTATCCACTAGCCCCACCACCAAAAAAATGTTATCTTTACAAGTTACTCAACTATAATTTACACTATAAATTTGAAATTATTGATCCTCTTCTGCCGCAGCCATAGCAAAGACAGAAAAACTAAGACCTTTTACTCAAGAAACTAACCTATCCACTAAACCCCCCAATAAAAAATCTATCTTTACAAGTTACCCATTTAAAATTCACAACATAAATTGAAAATCTTGATACTCTAGCAAAAAAAAGAATTGAAATTTGATACCTTCAGCTGCAGCCATAGCAATAACAGAAAATCCATTCTTTCTTGTTTTCTGAGATAATCCTAAGCTTCTAGAACCATTAACAGAGAACACTCGTGAGCTTCCAAAGAATTCAGACATGGAAGCAGAAGCAAGCGACTGTAGTTTAACACATCGATTCCTCCGAGAAGAAGTGACCCGGTTAGACACGGGTACGGGTCTTTGAGACCCATTAAAGTTACAGAGTGAAGAAGCAGCAGATGACATTCTTGTCACTGACTCTGCTGCCATTTTTTTCTCCTCTCTGTTTTTCTGGTCTACTGTGTGTGTATTTGTACTGGTTTATATTGGTTTGGATAGGGAGTGGAGATAATGAAAAGAGTTTGAGGTGTGAGAACTTTTGGTGATATGGTCATTTTGAGACCTTTGGTTTTTAGGTTATTTTTGGACTATGGGATAATATTGTGAGGCCTAGAAAAAAAAAGTTTTTTCTTTTTTTTAGTATTTTGGTATGATTTAGATTGTCTTGTTAGACATGGAACAATATCCACAACACCCATTTAAATCAAGTTGTGTTATTGGGAAAACTTAAGATATTGATAGAATTAAAAGATTGATTGTTTAAACTTCAGATATCCATCATATGTTTAGGACTTTTTTTGCGAGTGAAAATTAAGTATGATGATCAAAAGTTTGATCTTAGCAAGGTGGATAGATTTGCGCGCAATTTTAACTTTGTATATTTGATGTTGGTCATAGAGTGACTAACCTTTTAATTTGTATATATTGTGATTAAGATTTAAATAGTAATTTCAATATTCAGTATATGTGCAAATGCACTTTTTTCATAAGAATAACTAGACCTAGACACCTAGTTAAAGGCCTTATTTGATTTTATTTTGATTTTAATAAAGAAAACGAATAAAAAATCATATTGAATCCAACCACCAAATTATATATGATTGTGCTATTCGTTCTAGAGTGAAACATGTCTAATTTGGTGTTTATGTAGATTTGATTTATTTTGTGTTTATGTAAATTTATTTGTAGCTTTTTTAAGAGGAACAGAAAAAACAAAATGAACGCAAAAGTGCATATGACCCAAAAATCACAAATGAAATCTTAGTCTCATTGCAAATAAGGCCTAATTGTATTTTTCATGGGCCTAATTGCACTCAACAACAATTTTCAGGACTCAATGTTTTTGATACAGAGCCCATTAGTAGTAAACCTGTAATGTCTTTAATTTTAGGGAAACTTACATAAATATACTATATTAAGAAAATATTTACCATTTATAGCAATAACATTTTCTTTTCACTTGATCACTTTTAATACATTTATAATACAATTTTAATACATATTACAGAGAACAATTTATAAAACACATATAATATAAGTTTTATTGATGATTTATCACATATTTTAATACATTTATACTACAGTGTGTCAAATTCTTACCAAACAACTAAACACGCATAATATATTTTAAAACAGTTATAATACATACATATTGCATACATAATTCACTTTTAATATATTGTTTATCATAGTATTGCTATATATTGCTATAAATGGTAATAAATAAAAAGTATTGCTAAAATCAGTAATCATTTATTAAAAGGTATCTATTTAAGTAATTTTTCCTTAATTTTAGCCTAAAATAAAAATAAAAATTCACAGAGCATAAATTTATATGTTTAAATTCTTAGATCATGATGAGTTTATTTAGTCTATTGATTTATGATGGATCAACTTTGTTACTTGGACTAGTCTAAATCAACTCATCATCAAAGTCCAAAACTCATTTAAACGTCGGATCATAGTACATAAGTATAGTAACATGCATAGAAGAAGAAATCTTAGCCCATCATCAATATGATACTCCATGTCCTTATATCAAACATGTTACATATTTTTTTTTTTCTTTTGAATGATCAGAACAAACATGTTACATATAAACTTCAAAAGAAAGACATTTATTTCATGAAGATTGGATACAACAACAATTAAAAAGGGCAATTACTAGCCTCCCTTCTAACCAAATAGAGTAAAAAATATACTAGTAGTACAAGCATACAAATAACAAAATACCAAACACATAGAAAGAAACTACATATTTGACTTATTTGCATTGGAAGTTCTTTGGGGCATATTTGCCACAGTTGTTGAGCAACAAGCTGAGTGAAAGTGGAACATTTAGATTAATTCCCAACACATTGGCTTTAAGGGCAGTGCAAAGGCAAATAGCGGCATCAAGGTCAACAAGTCCTTCAATTAAAGAGCAACATTTAGTCTTGGCTGGGCTACTTCCAATAACAAGGTGCAATAAGTCACCCAATAAATCGGCACAAACATTTAGCTTAAGTGTGTCCTTTGGGCACTTACCCTTTGATGATGGGGTGGAGGGGGTAGGGGTAGGGTAGTGGGGTTTGGGGTGTGGGGGTGGTGGGCATGGGACATTAGTGGAACTAACCATAGTGAAAAAAATAATGTTCAATGTGAGAACAAGGGCAATTGAGGATGCACCAAACTTAGTCATTTTTTCAAACTTAATAATTAGCACTCTTCAACAATTGAATGTGGCTAATTAGTAGTGAAAATGTTGTTTGTTTGGTGTTTGAAATGAATGAAATGAGTGGCTATTTATAGGTAAAATTTATGATTTTTATTATTAGAAAATTGAAAGAGGGCAATGTGGATAGAGAACATTGTGTAGTCAAGTAGTTGGCAAATCCAAATTGAGATACTAGTAATATTATTGGATTATAAACTTACTAAATTGTATTTTTGTGGATTTCATTAGTTGTCGCTATTATTATATCTCTTTCCTCAAAGATAAATTAACATCCTTTATTTTCATATGGGACTTGCATTATTCTCTCTAATTATTTTATCAATATTGTTCTTGAACATGCTCGACTTGGATCTCATGCATCAAGATTAATTCTAAAGTTTGGAAGCTAGTAGTAAAAAATTGTGTGTTAATTTTTTGAGTTTAACTCAATAACACTATGTATATTATGGTCATCGACTATATTTTATAATTAATCTATTGTAAGTTAAGGTAGACTCGTAATTGTACATTAACTTGAGATCGCTATATGAAATCATAAACTTCAAATTCTGAGTTAGCTTCTATATCGCGAGCCACTAAAACAACGCATCCTGAAATAATGAGACACTTCCATCGTGCTCCTTCATTATGATTTATGGTTAAGGTATACGAAATTCAAAAGTATCTCATTAGGGGGTAAACCCCTTTGAGTCAATGCATTCATTCCGTTTTATTGGAATTTTTTTCTTTCGAAAAAACGTTGTTTTCGTTAAGAATTAACGTATTTGTGCAAAAAGTTGAATACTCTCTCTAGACGAAAATGTTTGTCATATTTTATTTTTCGAAAATCAAATTACATGAACTTTGATCAATATTACAAAATGTACCTTTTTGTCATATTGATATGAGAAAAATTACAACATAATACTTTTTGTAGAATTATTGAGTATCTAAATTTTAATTTTAAAATATTAAATCAATCTAATCTAATAAAGCTTCAAAGAATCAAACTGAGTCTAGAAAAGAGAAAACATGATAACTATTTTGAGACGAAGGAGGCGCGTAAAATAGTCTAATGTCATCATTTTTCTCTTCTGTCGAGGAAATTTGTGTGGCCTATATATGTTTAGTTTTTTTATCAATATATGAACGAAGTCAATATTAGAAGCACAATATGGAAAACGAAAGTTATTTGGAAGAAAAATAATATTCCTTTGGGTCAAAGTGTAAATATAGATATTAATGTTCTCAATTAACTTTATATCTATTTTTAGCACTATAATATGTGTGGTATTGGTAAATGATAGATCGAGACAAAAAAGGAAAAAAAAAACGTAAATATTGACAATTTATTGTCAAAGATGCTAGAGGAATACAATATTATGAATAAGCTGCGCAATAAGTTACTAGAAATTCAACGTAATGAATGTGATTCGATAGTTTCTTCTAATTTATTTATTTAAAGAGTCTGACATACCCCTCAATTTTATTATTTAGAGTTAATATATCACTCGTTATAAATGTGGTTCATATGTATACTGTTATTGTTATACAAATGACTAACATATCCTTTTTTCTTCTAACAGAAGTGAAAAAAATATTTTAATTTAATCTTTTAATTATTTTTTGACAAAAATATAATCCATATGGGGTATATACTTGATCCTCCTCACACATATTCTTTTTTTGACTTTTTTGTTTCAACGACTAATTTAAATTTATTATTTTGATGGTCAAATTTATTTATGTTTCACTAATTTTCTTGTAAGATTTATTATAGATGCCCCTTTTTTAATTTTATTTTTACAAATACAAAAACTAAATTACAATATAGTCGCAAAAAAATTAGTTTTAAATTTTTTATTTACACTAAAGAATGAAATAAAAAAAAAGAATAAGAAACTCGAATAATGATAATAAAAAAAGTCAAAAAATAATTTTTGTATGAAAAGAATTAAAATATACCTTGAACTTTGTTAGAAGGATCATGTATATACCCCTACATGAATTTTTCTAAAAATTTAAAGTCAAAAAAATAAATTTAAAACTATTTTTTTCACTTATGTTAGATGAAGGATATATGTGAGCTCCTTCTGATACAGTAAGTGGTATATGTAAGCCATTTGTATAACAATAAGGATATATATGAGCTACTTTCATAACGAGGGCATATCTATTCCAAAAAGCAAAGTTGAGGGATATATCAGGCCCTTTTCCTAGGCCTTCATTTTTTTTACTTTCATTTCTTGATTTTTTTTTTAAAAAAAAATCGATGATTCGACATTTGCTTGGTAAAGAAGAAGAAGAAAAAATTTCATTAATAATTTTGTTTGATAATTAATTAAATTATATAAAAGCAAATGAATTTAAAATTTTATAATAATTGGACGGATTCAATTATAACTTATTGTTGAGTAAATATTTTAAAAGATCACCTAATATTAAGCAAGAGTAGTGACTTATTTATTATTTTCGATCTATTTTGATCAAACCATCCATTTGCCACTCATTGGCATCTATTGTATTTTTTGAGCTGGTTGAAAGTTATAACCCAAAAAGAAGAAATAGTTATTTTTTTTCTCTAATAATTAGGACATTCAAGCACATAGAGTCACAACGATCTTAGTTTTCTATCAAACGAGACAGAGTCAAATTTAAAGTTTATGAATTGAAGTCTTGCTATATATATTTCTATTATATAGAAGAGTGAAGTGGTAGGACGACCAAGGGTAAAAATGTAATTTCATTCTAACAAAAATCTATTAAGAAAGATAGTAAATAA